GTGAGCGGACCCAGCTGCCCCGCTGCCGACACATAAGTGTGACGACACACTGCCCCTCCTTCCACTAACCATGCCTGCAGTTCGAGTTTTCAACAGCAAAATCCCGCGCTTTGCTTGGCCGCGATTACATATTCATCTTGAAGAGGAAAGCCAAGGTGTCAGTGCATTAAACTCTCACTCTCACAAATATCTGTGACTCATCGGTCCCGCTGTACCGCCTTTCTCGGTGCCAGACGTCGCCAGATACTGGGCGACGGACAGGCTTCGGGTTTACTTCTTTTCCATCTTCCTTGCGCGTTACGTGGACCAGGAAATTGTTCTTGTGGCACCGGAGAATGTGTGGAACGATGTTTTCAGGCCCCATTGTACGTGTATGTGAGCGCGCCTGTGTGCTCGCTTAGCTGTTACTAGATTTTTTTTTGTAATTGTTTATTTTTACTCTGTTGAATCAGACCCGGAAAACAAGATTGTAGGCATTCGGTTTTTAAACCAAGAGACAGGGGAAGGTTTTCGCGTTGGAATCGGTGGGTGCGCAGATAACGATTAAGGAAGACGTTCTGGAAAGGCATTGGCAATAAACGCAATAAATGCTCGGTTTTACCGGTTTCTGCCACCACTCTTTCCACTCGGAATACAAGTGAGGGGATGGTGGGGTTGTTTACCTTACAAGCATTTCGATTAATTGCTAATATATGTCTTAGATCAAGGGAGAATTAAATGCGGCTTTCGCAAGTTTGTCCCAAAAAGGCCAGGAAATGGGGGCTATGGCGAGCTCATGGCATGAGGCAGGTGACACCTTATATGGGCGAACCGCGTGGGATGACGTCTGCCTAACTTCATCGCGGCAGAAAATGGATCTGTGGGGGAAGGACCGCCGTTGTAATGTGGCCGTTTGGTTCTTTTAGCATTACCGTTATCACCCTTTAGTCGTTATTTATGGCGCGGTTGCACTATGGTGGGCCCAAGGCGTCTAATTTTGGCACATAGGGAGGCAGGAAGGAATGCAACATAGGAAATGCGGACTTGCACTGTGACAGTTGGGTAGTTGTAAGTCATAAAAGGAATGGTATTTCACTCAAACGGGCTGGCGTTCATGCACGTACGCGCGCACACGCATGCACAAACGCCCACTTACGGACACATACAGGCAAAAAGAGAAGGAGAATGAGGTTAAGAGGAGCCATGTGCAGCTAGGGAGAGCTATGTGGCACTAGGCACCTGCATGTGCTTACACATGTATTATACAGATGCCAACAACATGCTTATTCACTCACTCACTCTCACTTTTCACTCACCCACTCTCACTTATTCACTCACTCTCACTTATTCACTCACCCACTCTCACTTGTTCACTCACCCACTCTCACTTGTTCACTCACTCTCACTCTCACCCACTCTCACTTGTTCACTCACCCACTCTCACTTGTTCACTCACTTGTTCACTCACCCACTCTCACTTGTTCACCCACTCTCACTTGTCCACTCACCCACTCTCACTTGTTCACTCACCCACTCTCACTTGTTCACTCTCTCTCACTTGTTCACTCACCCACTCTCACACTCACCCACTCTCACTACTCTCACTTGTCACTCACCCACTCTCACTTGTCACTTCACTCACTCACACTCACTTGTTCACACCCACTCTCACCCACTCTCACTTGTCTCACTCACTGTTCACTCACTTCTCACTTGTTCACTCACCCACTCTCACTTGTTCACTCACCCACTCTCACTTGTTCACTCACCCACTCTCACTTGTTCACTCACCCACTCTCACTTGTTCACTCACCCACTCTCACTTGTTCACTCACCCTCACTCTCACTTGTTCACTCACCCACTCTCACTTGTTCACTCACCCACTCTCACTTGTTCACTCACTCTCGTTCACTCACCACTCTCACTTGTTCACTCACCCACTCTCACTTGTTCACTCACCCACTCTCACACTCTCACTCTCACTGTTCACTCACCCCTCTCACTTGTTCACTCACCACTCTCACTTGTTCACTCACCCACACTCACTCACACTCACTGTTCACTCACCCACTCTCACTTGTTCACTCACCCACTCTCACTTGTTCACTCACCCACTCTCACTTGTTCACTCACCCACTCACTTGTCACTCACTCTCACTTGTTCACTCACCCACTCCACTCACACCACTCTCTCACTTGTCACTCACCCACTCTCACTTGCTCACTCACCCTCTCACTTGTCACTCACCCACTCTCACACCTCACTCACCCACTCTCACTTTTCACTCACCCACTCTCACTTGTTCACTCACCCACTCTCACTTGCTCACTTCACCCACTACTTGTCACTCACTCACACTCTCTCACTTGCTCACTCACCACTCTCACTTGCTCACTCACCCACTCTCACTTCACTCACCACTCTCACTTGTCACTCACCCACTCTCACTTGCTCACTCACCCACTCTCACTTGCTCACTCACCCACTCTCACTTGCTCACTCACCCACTCTCACTTGCTCACTCACCCACTCTCACTTGCTCACTCACCCACTCTCACTTGCTCACTCACCCACTCTCACTTGCTCACTCACCCACTCTCACTTGCTCACTCACCCACTCTCACTTGCTCACTCACCCACTCTCACTTGCTCACCCACTCTCACTTGCTCACTCACCCACTCTCACTTGCTCACTCACCCACTCTCACTTGCTCACTCCAACCTCTCTCTCACTTGCTCACTCACTCTCACTCACTCACCCACTCTCACTTGTTCTCTCACTTCTCACTCTCACTCTCACCTTCTTGGGCACTCACTGCACTGCTCACTCACACTCTCACTTGCTCACTCACGCTCACTCACTCTCACTTGCTCACTCACCCACTCTCACTTGTTCACTCACCCACTCTCACATATTCTTATGGTTATCATTAGTATTGTTATTGTTATTATCATCATTATTACTAATAGTTGGTATGGTTAAAGTTATTTGTATGATAATGTGTAGAATATGAGTTTCATTTACTTCTTTATTATTTCCAGATCATGTGTCGCTTTTGGGGAAAAGAACCGCATTCTGGGTGTCGCTGCCAAAAATCAGATGACCACCAATATGAAGAACACTGTGCATGGATTCAAGCGACTATTAGGCAGACACTACAGGTCAGTGTTACTTTATAGATATTGAAGTAATTTTTAGAACACTAGGTAGATTGCTAGCATTATACAAGTTAGTAAGAGAATTGATAGTGCAAGGTATCTGATAATGTTTCGTATCAGAGCTTGTTGAATAGAAATATTTGTTGAATATTATTGTTTAATAGTCATCCCTGTTGGTTTGGGAAATATGGGAAAAGATGTTAGAAAAGGAGAAAGAAAGATATAATCTGCAATTCCATCATTTTTTCCAGGGACCCAAAAGTGCAGGCTGAAATTGCTCCACTTCCTTACAAGACTGTTGAATTACCAGATAGAAGTGTTGGTATTGCTGTACGATACTTAAATGAAGAACAGACATTTTCAGCCTTACAAGTTACGTCAATGCTTTTCACGAAGTTAAAACTAACAGCAGAACAGGCCCTTGGCATCAAGGTTAACGATGTTGTTATTGGGGTAAGTAAGAATATGGACATTTGAATTTTTTTTTTATATTGCCAGTGCTATTCATCCAATGAAAAAATGTGTAATATTACCATATTACTTGTGGAAATGTTAAAGTTAGCCAATGTAATATTTTGGTATATGTTTACCATGTTGGATAATCTAGTACTTTACATAGTTTTGTTATAATTGGAATTTATGGTTAGTACTAATGTGGCAAGTCAAAACATATTGTTGTTATTGGTATTAATATTAGTATTTTGTTTGATTTTGCTAAGTGAATTATCCTAGTTGTTAAGGCCCCATCACACTAGCACTATTTCTGTCAACTTTTGCATTTCCATCTGAATAAGAACACCCAGACAAAGACAGTTACAACTGTTTCCGTCTGACCAATTTCCGTCTTGATCTTATGCTAGAGTATCTATACAGCTGAAATATTATTTTTATTGTTAAATAGAAGGATTAAATATAAATATAAGCTATTATTTTAGAACATTCATATATACAATATACAATTACATTTCTTTAAAGATAACGTCATATATATGAGAATGTTCGTGTGGTTCTCGGGACCTCACTCCGAAAGTGCCATGTTTGTTTACATGGGCAATGTTTTCTGCCTTGGTAGTGTGATAGAGTCAGTTCATTTTGATGGGAAAAGTTCATTTGGAAACAAACAAAAAATGCTGGAAAATGTGCTCGTGTGATAGGGCCTATAGCATGATAGGGAAAACAAAATGAAGAACAATTACCTGCTATGTAACAGATAATATTTTATGAGAAACAAAAGATAGAAAAAAAAATATAGCTTAAACTTTTATCTTGCCTTGGGTAACAGTTATTGTTTAGAATAATCAGTTCTAATAGTTTTGTTCCGCACTTATAAAGTCAAAAGCAAAAACAGCAAGAAAAATATGATAATTTCATTGTAGACCCTGTCTGTTTTCACTCTTGTGGTCAAATGACACTAAGTTCCTCAGAAGAATTCTGAAAAAAGATAGCCTTCAAAAAAAATTGTTGGTCAATTTTAGAGTGACATAAGGCAAGCAAAATTTTACTCAGATCCGGATGCTTCACTGCCATAATGTGGTTCAAGATATGGGCTTTACACTTACTTGGGTGGCCAGTCTGATGGATATGTGGATTGTTGGCCGGGTGCACTCGAACAATCATGTGTATTGACAAAGACTCCATGCCTCCCATTTACAGTTTTCTGCATAAGCATTTTTTTTTTTTTTTTTTTTTTTTTTTTTGACATTTTCCAATGTCTATATTTTTCATTTGATATAGAGACCCCATATCATCTCCCTAGGTAGTCCTTAACTTAGTGCAATAATAATAGCACTAAAGAACATTTTGTTATTTGTGTCATTTTAGATTTTTTCATAATATTAAATTTTCAGTATACTGGTCACTGCATTCAGAAATAGGATCCTGAGCATCGAAATAGCGTCCTTCCTGGAGCCAATTCTCTTCCAGTCTTGGCTCATGGATGATACATAACACACTTGTTTATTGATAGGAATGATGCAAAAGCCCCTTTCTATGCCAAATGAGTCTAATCACCAAGTGCTTTGCAATTGTGGGGAGTCGTTCTCGTCACCCAGGCCTTTAACCAAAATGCTCATGACAGTATGTCCACGTTACCCAAGCCCACAGCCAAGTTTTCCCTTGAAGACATGTTCACATCATCTGCCTGTCAAGCAAAATTTTTTCATGATGTAATGGTCATGGCATCCAATGCAGAGGGCAATTTTTGTTATAAACTAAGAATCAAATACATTTTTGTGGGGGTGAGGGTGTTCACCTACTATCTATTATATATGAAGAGTAATAATACAAGTTTAAGTAATTGTAAGTTAAAATCTCATATACTTGAATTAGAGAGAATACCAGTTTTGAGAATAGTAAATTGTTCCATGTTGGATATTCAATAAAGAAAATGTATCACATATTACCCTAATGAAGGCAATTGGCTGTATTGTATAAAATTACAGTCTTTGAGTGAAATCATTGTTTATGCAATTATTTCATAAGAATTTTTAATTTTTAGTCCACGAAGGTTACGCCTAACCTCTCTTTTGTTTGCATGATATTTTAGCTCCATATCATATATACTGAGCTACATGAAACTAAGATAGGCGGTAACATGAGCACTCTCACCCATTATGACACTGGAAAAAAGGTGCATCGTTTAGGTGTGCTCGAGCTGTAATCTAAGGGTTCAGGAGAGGATGATAAGAAAGAGGTGAGAAATCGCACAAATAAGTAATAAATTGCCCATCGTCTGGTCAATACCAGATGTAGAATAGTGGCTAAATTCAGACTACGAGACGAATTAATGAATAGACATCCTATAGGTGGCTATATACTCTCAGGTGAGACAGCCGATCTAAGATATTGTAAGATCAAAATTTGAGACATATATTCACGTGGTATATGAATAGTGTGAGTTGTGATGTAGTCAATTGGAGATTACATGTCGATATACGTGTTCAATGAGAACAGATTGTTTCTAGTGTCTTTCACCAGAAGGAGAGGCGTTGATTGGTAATTAGTACTGATGATTACAATGGAACGTAATAAACGAAAAGTTGGAATAACACACGAAATATAGACAAGAGAGAGCAACAATTATGAGTAGATAAAGAACTTCCTCTACTTAGTGAGATTCTAAATAACAAAGACAATGGGCCTCTATAAACTCTCTTATCCGCACTACTTTTATCCATCTATGTGTCTTCATGTTCAACTATAAAACACACGTGATGCTTGAGCGCTCGTTGTGCAGAGTTATTGGAAGCGGCAAGTCGAATCGCTCGAGACCGTACACGTTCGGCATAGAGATTAGAGTATAGTGCATACACCACCAGACACAAGCGCCGTAGCGCGCACTATTGGTATCTTATAAGCGCACATGCTGAACCTGTCACATCACCTGAGATGAAGCCAAGTATATGTCGTGTCTTCGAGAGTAACCTGTGTGCATCGATTCGAGAGATATCTCTCCAGATAATAGGCTAATAAGAGCACTAGTCAGAAGTTAAATACTCCACTCAGTATATATTAATTGGAAAGAATCTGGATTAAAATATGGAATCAGACTCAATCACGAATAGTAAAAAATAGTATATTTTTGATCTTGAGTTGTTGATACGCAGGTCTACAAGTATTGAGGTCATTGACAGCTTGGTGGTCAGACTATTTACTAAGTCTCGTAAAGAAACGGAGCTTACTATGTGTTAAATGGTATTTGCATTCACTTTTCTTGTTGATCTCTATATCAAAAATGAGAAATATAGACATTGGAAAATGAACTGAGAGAGAAAGACAAAATAAAAGAAGAAAAAACAAAAATACGATAAATACCATTATTAATCCACATTTAGTCCTTGTCGAGGATTAATAAACACTCCACCACTTACTACAGGTTAGCATTCAGATTGTTGTTAAAACTGTAAAGTATAGAGGGAGGCTCGATAATGCGCACGATCTTACTCGCATCTGCGCAATAGACGTACTCACATCGAGTCATGGATTGCAGTGTCTTCGAAGCTGGTCGCCACCCGAGGTCCTAGTGAGGTTAAAATAGCCTCACTTCGATTTAGCATCCACCACGTAGCATGTGGTCAGACCCCAGAAGGAGGAGTAAGATACCACTCACGCACAAAATCTATAGTCTTGACCTACAACCTCATTTTGTTTGAGCGTATCACTCCCCAGTCGAATATAATAAGAAAGTGTATATATGCTAATAGCCCTATGAGGACCATATATAGATAGATTTGCTAACTTGGTTTTCTATTATTTAAATTTTTTTTGGTCAAGTGGCCTAAAACCTTGCACTCACCTACGCTAATTGGCTGGTTATGTTTGGGAGATCCCAGTCATATATATTGATCTTATGAGTATCACCAGAGAGTATAATATATATGACATAAGTTATGAACATAGTGTTGCACTCTCATTTGGTGGTACCACAAGAAGGTGTGAGATGAAATCAGAGTGATGAAGATCTACTATAGATGTGATGCTATAAACAACAGTATAGAGCTATGTAGTCCTTGCAATATGTAGAATTTTTAATATTGATATTAGGACGTCGAGTTTGCTTTTGACTTATATATACTGCTATGTCGCTCTAGAGGATGATGACAAAAACTTATTTGTATGACTTCACACATTGACATGTTTTATAACAATAACTCTGTTAGTGTCTGGGAATATTTTCTTGAATACACTGCTATGATGTGAAGTATTAAAAGCTTTGTTAGAGCTCAGTTTTTGTGCATAGTGTGCTCTCTTATTTTCACGCAGCACTATTTACTTTTGATTAGATTTTGTACACTCAACTGGATATAAATAAATGCATATATCGTTCGTTGTACACTCTCATGCAGGCTTTATTATATATTGTCTTACTGTTCATTTTAGAGAGCTTTTCTTCGCTCCTATTCCAAACTATGCTTATCGATATCTGCTCTACATCAACCGCACAGACATTTCCAGATTATTTGTTTGTTTCTCAATGACTTTTCCATCAAAATGAACTGTACTCTATCACACTAACCAAGGCGAGAAAAACATTGCCCATGTAAATCAAAACATGAGCACTTTCGAGTGGAGGTCCCGAGAACCACACAAACAATTCTCAAATATATTACGTTATCTTTCAAGAAATGTAATTTGATATTTTATTATATGAATGATTCTAAAATAATGCTTATATTATATGTTAATCCTTCCTATTTAACAATAAAAATAATATTTTCAGCTGTATGATACTTCTAGAATTAAGATCACATGACGGAAAATTGGTCAGGCGAAACAGTTTGTAACTGTCTTTGTCCCTGGGTGTTCGTTATTCGATGGAAATGCAAAAGTTGACCAGAAATAGTGCTAGTGTGATGGGCCTTTAACAACTAGGCTTATTCGACTTAGCAAATCAAACAAAGATACTAATATTAAATACAATAACAAAAATATGTTTTGACTTGCCACATTAGTACTATACGCATAAATTCCAATTATAACAAAACTATGTAAATACTTATGTATTAATCGCAACATGGTGAAACATATACCAAAATAATTACATTGGCTAACTTTAACCACTCTCTTCCACAAGTAATTATGGTAAAATATTACATCATTTTTTAATTGGATGAATAGCACATGGCATATACAAGAAAAAATTTTTTATCTAATGATCGCATATGTCTTACTTAACCCCATAACAACATCAGTTAACCTTGAATGAAGGGCCTGTTCTGCTTGTTAGTTTTAACTTCGTGAATAAAAAGCAATTTGACTGTCAACTTGGTAAAGGCTGAAATGTTGTTGTCTTCATTTAGGCTTATCGTCACAGCATAATAACCAACTACTTCTATCTAGGTAATTCAACAGTCTTGAAGGTAAGTGAGCAATTTCAGTCCTCGCAGCTTTTGGGTCCCTGGAAAAATGATGGAATTGCAGATTATATTCTTTCTTTCTCCTTTTCTAACATCTTTTCCCATACTTCCCAAACAACAGGGATGACTTTAAACAATAAAATATTCAACAAATTTTCTATATCAAGCAAGGCTCTGATACGAAAACATGTATCAGATCCTTGCACTATCAATTCTCTTACTAACTTGATATAGATGCTAGCAATCTACCGAGTGTTCTAAAATAAGACTTCAATATTCTTATAAAGTAAGCACTGCCTGTAGTGGTTCTGCCCTAAGTTAGTCGCTGAATCCATGCAGCAGTGTTCTTCACATAATTGGTGGTCATCTGATTTTTGGCAGCGACACACAGAATGCGGTTCTTTCCCCAAAAGAGACACATGATCTGGAAATAAATAAGAAGTAAATGCAACTATATTCTGACACACTCTATCATACAAATAACTTTACCATACGAACTATTAAGTATATAATGATAATAACCAATAACAATACTAATGATAGACCATAAACCATGTAGAGTGGGTGAGTGACACAAGTGGAGAGTGGGTGAGTGAGCAAGTAGGAGAGTGGGTGAGTGAGCAAGTGAGGAGTGGGTCGAGCTGCAGAGTGAGAGTGGGTGGAGTAAGCAAGTGCAGAGTGGGTGAGTGAACATAGTGAGGAGTGGTGATGTGAAAACAAAGTGATGAGGTGGTGTAACGTGAACAAGTGGAGAGTGGGCGAGTGAGGCACGCTGTTATTATGTACGCTGTTTGGGTAGAAGCCTCTGGGTGACACATGACACAGTGTTTTAGCGAGTTTTGTGTGATTAGAGGGTTTGATGTTTTACATAATATAGCTTAGCACTAGAGGCTCGTGAACGGTGAATGTTGGGATTACAAGGTTAAGGTCAGAGGGTATGAGTGAGCTCGAATAGACCAGGTTGTAGAAATGGATTGAGCTAGGTTGCGAAGTATGACACTACCTATGATTTGTAGATGTAGTGGTTAGTGAGTCTCAGGGATAGCTACTGAAGCAGGTTGCTTATGAGAATGGGAGGGCTCGCATGAAAGCCATATGCGAATAGGCAGACTGTGAGGTGTATGTATGACGTTCGAAGTGGGTAGAGAGCAGAGTGAGTGTGGATCATAAGTGAGAAGTGAGAGTACGGTAGGGAGTAGTTAGACATATGCTTAGATGGAGCTTGGTCGTAGAGGTAACGAGCGAATTGTTTGAGGATGATGTGGTAGAGATGAAGCTGATAAGGTGGAGGGTAGTTGCGAGTAAGTGTAGGATCAGATAGTGTAGTAATGGATGACAGTGTCAGAAGAGTTGTGAGTGTAGGGTAGAGCAAGTAGAGAAGAGGGTTGAGGTGGAGTCAAAGAGGCGAGAGGATATGTGGTGTGAGTCTAACGCTTAAAGAATGTAGAAGAGTTGTGAGTGATGTGAGAGCAAGATGATGGGAGATAAGGATCGTGTTTAGAGAGGAGTTGAGAGTGTGTGCGTAGAATGTAGAGTGACAGAGTGAATATATGTGGCGTCGATGTGAGTAGTCCATTTGCACAGGGGAGAGGTGGCGTCGACTGCAGCCAAGTGCACGAGTCGGGGTACGCTGCACGTCCCCTGACTGAGAGTGATGAGGATAGCTGATAGAGCAGATAGAGAGAAAATTCAACACAGGAATCGATCGCTATGATAGCAGTGATGTGTATTGTCAGAGGATATGAGTCAAATGTAGGAGAATGATGTTAGAGGGGTATGTATGATATATAAGGGTACGGCATAATTAAAGTTGGTGTGAGCTATATTTGTGGAGAGTGGGTGCACGCTGTTAGAGGGCATTGTTAACATAACAAAAGGGAGAAAGTATATAGTGGAGTGGAGGGAGGAAAGTATTGCGGACATCAGAGTATCCTATGAGTTTGGGTGCTTTATATGGCTTATCTAGTTTTCCTTTTATTGCAATTTATGTATTCAAATGCTTTTAAGAAAATTTCTCAAAGGCCTTAGATTTTGCTTAGTCTTTGGCATTTTGCTTTTACATATAACCTAATTTAGCATTTCTGTATATGGTATTCGTGTAATTAAGACTAAGCCTCTGTTTTTAGGACTGCCATGGAAAGTATGGCAGAGTCGCTGTTCAATCGTGTTGAGATCACGCTGCAGACGTGCCTGGCTGATTCCAACCTCAGGCTAGATGACATTTATGGTGTTGAAGTTGTTGGTGGATCAACCCGTATCCCGGCCATTAAGCAATTGATTGAGAAAGTGTTCAGGAAAACACCCTCAACCACACTCAACCAAGATGAAGCAGTGGCAAGAGGATGTGCCTTGCAGTGTGCAATGCTCTCCCCTGCTTTTAAGGTTAGTTGAAATTGATTTCAATTTTGTTTATTCAAGATATTAGACTGTTTGGAAAGATGACACATTGTAACATTTATTTATTTATTATTTTTATTTATTTTTTTTTTTTTTTCATTATCCATTTGACACATACCACATTATGCTACCTAAGTCATAGATAATTGTTAATACAGTCAAGACTAGAATATTTCAGTCATGTTATACTTCTATTGACAATGACCATTGTACCACTTCTAGCATATTTCATACTTATATTTCCTAGAAAGATATGTATTCACCCAAAACAGTAGAATAATTGATTATCTATTCCTTTGTGTATATTGGGTTTTCAGAAAATCAAATAGAATGCTGTAAGAAAAGTTAAGGTTTCAGCTTTAAGGAAACAAGTACAATTTGACCATCATGATAGATACCAAGATAAAAATGAATATATAGTCAGAAATGCCTTTTTTAACACTTGAAGATATGAGGAGAGAATATATGTGTATATATATATATATTAATATCATTAGGATTATTATAATGTTATTAACAGTACTGGTACCAATAAAGAATAGAATATAATATTTCTGAATATCAACTAAAAGGGTAAATTGGTAAGATAGGTAGGGCTTGTAATCTGTGACTCAATACTTCAGGTGCCATCTATGTATAAACGCAATAAATAAACCAAAGTCAACATTGACATGTGACATACTGTATATATATGTGGACAATCTCCTGTGGCACTGGGTTAAAGTAAAAGTAAAATATTCAGTACACCAAGATTGGTAAGTTTTAAAAGCTAAGAGAGTGTAGAGGGATTACAGATTGACAAAAGAGATCAGCAGATAATGTAGCAGGGGTAGGGGGATGACTCATTGCCTCAGAATTGGGACAAGAAGAAAATGTATGATGTACCAAGGCCATAAAACCTCTGTGGTTTTCAGTAAGCTATCAAAAGCAATATGTTTACATTCATTTATTAACATGTTTACAAGGAGAAGAATATTGTTCTTGTTTATATTAGTATAATGTTGTGAAATGGAAACTTTACTTTCAGGTACGAGAATTCTCAATAACAGATGTGCAGCCGTACAGTATTCGATTAGTTTGGCAGGATGAGTCTGGCCAGGAGGGTGATATGGAAGTGTTCCCAAAGAATCATCAGGTGAGACTGGTTTGTTGTTATTTAAAGGCTTAAGCGTAATGATAAGATATATTTAAAACTAAAGACAGGAAGTTAAAACTGTTGATCATCAGAATTCTCAAATAAAATTTCTTACTCATTATGGTAATAATGTTATCATTGATATTAATGTGATTATTCTCCCTGATATTCATGGTTTAAAAGAGTTGAGAATGATTTGATCCGACTTTGCCCATAGTGTCAGTGCATTTGCTGATTGTAACTTGTTTTTCTTTTTTTTTTTTTTTTTTACAATTCTCTTAATGTTTTTTTTGTTTTTTTTATCCTTAGGTACCATTCTCAAAAATGCTGACCTTCTACCGACGGGAACCATTCACACTTCAGGCTCAGTACACTGATCCCGCCTCTTTCCCAGATCCTATTATTGGCAATTATACGATACAGAAAATAGCTCCGGGACCAGAGGGAGAGTGCCAAAAGGTAAGGCGTGTGTTGCTCATTGTCTCTAGATGTTTATTTGTATTGTGCCATTTTTATGCACTGTATGAAAATGATTTCCAGATTGTGCTTGGTATTTTGTATTTTGTATTTTTTTTTTAATGATTAGTAAACAAAGAAAAAAGTATCATTATTCAGGTGTTCAATTGTTTTGCACTTGATTTGACATTTCATTGAAAATTGCAGGTCAAGGTGAAAGTCAGGGTCAATTTGCATGGTCTCTTCACCATAGCTTCAGCAACTCTGACTGAAAAGAAGGAGGCAGTGGAGGAACCTGCAGAAAATATGGAAACAGAGGAAAAACAGAAGGTAACTTTGAACTGAGGACATGGTTGTTTGACAAAAAAGATATAGAAGACTATGATTGTACTCTGTAATAATGAATGAGGGAACCAAAGATAAACGTATTATATATGATACATGCATAAATTGTAGGTGGCCCATATCTTTTACAATTCTGTTTATAGATACTTATACATGCCTACTTTTTTTTATTCAGAATTCTGGGGAAGGTGATGCAGCAGCTCAAGGAGAGAATCAGAAAACCCCAGAACAGGAAGGTGCTCCAGATCAGGTAATTTTTTTTTTTGCGTGTGTGTTTTATCATGTTAACCCTGTATTTTTGAGTAATGTTTGGAAACCTGTTGATTAATTTAGGGTTATATGTTCCCTGTTGTTAGGGTTGGAGTAAGGATTATTACTTTCCTTTTTCAACATCTTGTGTAGATGTAGTGAGCTTGATATGATCATAATTTTATACATTGAACCTTTATTAATTGGGTATAGATTGTGTTAAAATATAGTATCACAATTTTTAGTCTTGCCAATAGTGGGTAGGGAGTCACCAGGCATTCCAGATTTTCCAGTAGTACTTATCCTTGCCTCTCCTTTTACCAAATAGAAAATGGAGACTGACAAGCCAGCAGAAGGAGCACCTCCAGCAAAGGTTAGTTTTCTGTTTCTGTGTGTTTTTTTTTTTTTTTAATGTTTTTTGATGTGAAGAAGTAGCAGAAATCTGATTGTTCTACTTTATTTTAGCTGACTGATATAGGATCTCCAAAACCACAAACTATAAATATGTTTACTTTGAAATTTTGATTTTTGTTGTGATCTAAAGAGGTTATATTTGATATGTCAAATATTTAGATTAACCACTAGGCGACGGGTGGCATGTATGTACATGCCATGGCTGTTGTGGACCAGAAAATGAATGGCATCATATCATGCCGATTCTTGTGCCATTGGCTCGTCAGACAGAGTTTGTTTATCTCCAATAGTAGTGGCTTCATTTATTTGGTTGAGATTTTAGGCAATAGCACCTATAATGAAGGTAAGCCTTCAAAATTATGATATTTTTATTAATTATAGAAATATCAGAGCTTTTAGGTGCCAAATGTCGCTCGCAAACTACCAAACTAGCCAGGTGTTAACAGAAAACTACCGATGTGTGCCAACAATCCTGTTATTATGTCCACTTGCCAAAATTTTATACCCGTTGGCGTTGGGTTAAAAGACAAATACTTATGAGATGCTCTCTGAATAACTAAATATTGATTGAAAAATTTTAGGTAATACTAAGCTGTAAAATTTCTCTTTGAACCCAAACAGAATGAAGGTGGAGAAAAGAAGGTCAAGAACGTTATGAAAACTGTAGAGCTTCCCATCAATGAAGTCAGTAAGTCGCATAGTGCCACTGAAATGAACAATTTGGTGGAGAGAGAAGCTCAGATGGTCCAGGCAGATAAGCTAGAGAATGAACGAATTAATGCTAAGGTAAGTGTAAACATGTTGGAGACGTGTGCCTACTTTCGGATTGATTTTATGTCAGAAAGGATTATTGTCATTTTCTTGTAGAATTTTTAAAGGTAGTAGATTGCTATTAGTTTCCTTATAAAAATAATCCTAATTTATCCTCTCTCTGCTCAGAATGCTGTGGAAGAATATGTGTATGACATTAGGGGTCGTATTTATGAAGAATTGGAAAAGTATATCAGTGAAGGCGATAGAGAGAAGCTAGGCCTTATGTTGGAAGATACCGAGAATTGGCTCTATGAAGATGGCGAAGACTGCAAGAAGCAAGTCTATTTGGATAAATTAACAGAACTAAAGGTAAGGCTTGAATTGCGAAATATAAGGTATTGTGAATTTGTAAAGACTGGGTTATTTCAGATTTTGTTTCAATTTGTATGTATTCATGGGTAGTTTGATTTTTCAAATTTAAAGCAGCAGATTCATGGAACATTTTTAATCGACAGTAAGTGTTTCACTGCTTTGTGCAATAAATATTTGAAATTTTTATATCTGACAAAACTGCTTTACCCCAGAAACATGGCGAGCCAATCAAGGACAGGAAGCGAGAACGAGAAGAACTTCCCAGGGCATTTGAAAGCCTATTAAGTTCCATTCAGCTGGCACGCAAGGCGACAGAACAGTTCCGTAGTGGGGAGGAGAAGTATAGTCATCTCGAAGCTGCTCAGGTGGAAAAGGTAATAAAGCAAAAAATCTTAATTTGTATTTATTGTTATTGTTATTATTATTAAAAAGCGCTTGTATAATAGTAATAGAACAAGCAGGATTGTCTTCTCATGTTTTAGCCCCTGTGATCTGGATGACTTGACTTTCATGTCATGTGTGAACATGCCTTCATGGGAATATTTGGATGAAGGCTATGGTGACGGGAACTGGCTGTTTAGAGACTTTGGGCAGATGGCTGGGTGATTGGAATGACTCGTCACAATTGCACAAAACTTTCGGAATGAGATTAGACTGGGTATTTAGGAAAGAGCTCTTGCAATATTTCCATTGAAAATTTAATGTGAAAAGTTTTTCCATGAGCCATGACTGAAAGAGTGCCAGTACCAGGGAGCCGTATTGCCAGTATTTCCATGCTCAAATGACAACAAAATGTTACTCCTTTTGATTATTGCAATGAGTTATGGACTACCTAGAGAGATGATGTGGAATCTGTGCAAGGAAAACGGTTAATTACCATCTAGATAAAGCAAATCAAATGACAAATATAGACATTGGAAAATAGTAAAAAAGCTAAAAACTCTCATGCAGAAAGAGAAATCAACATTGCAATGGATGGGCTTGGAGTCTTGTTACTGCTCATGAGTGTTTTTGTGCGCCTGGCCCATCAGAGTGGTAGCTCAAGTGAGCCTAATATCCGTAATTTGAGCCATGTGCAGGCAATGAAGCACCTGGATCCAAGGGGTTGATTATGGCCAGTGGGGTTATTCTCTAGTTTGGTATGATTTTTTAACAAAATTTATTTTTGTAACAGTACAGTAGCCAAACTAAGAGGAAAAACTATTAAAAAAGCAAGTTTTAACTTACTCATTTTCCCTTCCCCTTTCAGGTTGAGAAGGCAATTACCGAGAAGCAAGAATGGGTAGACAAAAATATGGGAGCATCTGCATCGACTCCTCTGCATGTAAACTTGCCAATTTCTGCAAACCAAGTGAAGTCAGAGAAAGGAACCTTTGAAGCTTTGGTTAATCCAATTATTAACAAGCCAAAGCCCAAACCAAAGGTAAGCTTGTTTATATATTGTCTTTTGATGGGATGAGTATCATTGCTTAGGGACTTTTTTCTTTTCCTTTTTTTTATGCAAATGGCATATTACTTAAAAATATGTACTGGGTGAATGTGTTTATAGTTTATTTTAGATGTGAAAGATTTGATGTTAAATGAAGATCATATGACAAAAACATTAATGAAATCGGAACTTCACAGGTGGAGGAACCACCCCCAGCAGAGAAGAAAGAAGGAGAGGAGGACAAGAACGCGGGAGAACAGACGAATGGCCCTAAGAACAATGAGCAGCAGCAGTCCAGTGAAAAGCCAACAGAACCAATGGATGTTGATTAATGCGATATCATGGATATGGGAAGTTACAGGGATTAGCTAGGGCTGCTCTTCTGCAGTATTGCCTGAGAAGAAATGTGTTGACGTCAAGACATGGGATTCCCTGAATAATGCTTTGTTTGTAATGTTTTGTTTGATAAGTTGCAGGGTTACCTTCCATTTACGAACAGTATAGCATTGACAACAGCACCTAATCTCATAATTTCAAATCTTGGTCTTAATCACCGCTTAATTCTTAGTGTGAACATAAGGTCATACTATGTCAAGTAGAGTAGAAATTGCAGATCATGAAATACCAATTGATTACGATGTCAATGTCACGAGGGTATGTACCACTGCTTGAACTGAATTAGGCATTGGCCTAGGGCTTCATGTCCAGTAATAGTACTATTTTTTTTCTCTCTTTTTAAATATTTTTTTTTTCCTCAAACTTTTTATGTATTGAGGGATTCTGGTGATACAATGTGCCCCTGTCCATAGTAACTGGTAGGTGTAGCAATGACTTTATAAAGTATAGCACATAGTTAAGTTAGTAGAGTGGATGTCATAGCAATGACTATGTCAGAAGAAGCATTATTAATATTTGTACATAATCATACCCTCTGCTAGACATAGATCTCTAACTTCATATTGAAGTTTTTTCTTCTTTTTTGAGTCAGGATCAATTAAGTTGTCAATCTACGGCATCAGGCTTCTCATGTATTGCTGTATGTGTAAAATCATCTCATTGTCTGATTTAAAAGCTCATGTTCTTCAAGCGAGAAAGATTTAAACAATAAGACTGTCCAGTAAATCATTGGAGTTTTATTTCTTTGGTTTTGTCCATGAGATCAGTGAAGATTTTCCCCCTTTTTTTTTTTTTTACATTTCCAGTTTTGTTTGATACTTCATAGAATTTATTTTACAGTGATGTTGAAGTGGAAAAGTCCTGCTAGCAAAGAGCATATTAATTTTCACTACATTAGTTAAAGGAAAGAGAGTGAGTGAGTTACAAGGCCTCACTGATCACTTGCTGTAATCATTCCACTGTATTTGCTTCTGTGAATGACTGTCTCAAATAGTAAGGATAAACCAACTTCATCAACTGAGTCTCATTACGACCTTTTCTTTCGCCAGTGGTAGATAAGGGGGTTGGGAAAGTAATATCGAACATCTATAAAAGCAGAGAAAAGAGGAGGGTGTATAAGACGTGTCACCAGGATTTGTTTCTTTAGGAAAGTGTTTGATTTGTTGTTATAAAGGTCCTTCTATGCCATCGATTATCTTATCTAAATTATATATTAAAATTAAAAGAATTACTCTAAAATGGTTTGAATGGAATTTACGATTTGGAGAGACGAAATAGAAGATGGTCTGCAAGTATGACAATACTACTAAACTTAATATGCTTGGTATGTAAAATAAAAAATCAGGTATAAACATTTGTAGAGGTTTGATTATAATTATCCCTTAAAACAATTTTTTTGCTGTATTGATTAAGACATTTTTGTTACATATCGTTAATCACAAAATAGTATATTGGTGTAATCTTGTTAAAATTTGAAATAACCTGCTTTTGCAGATTTCTTTATGCAAATGAATATTTTCCACTAGAAACTGTATAATAGTAGGACTGAATGTGTAATAATAAAAAAGTCTTAAGGTCAAGCTGAACTTAAGTAAACACTAAATTTGTTTATTTATCGAGTCTTTAAGAAAATGCAAGATGAGGAGGGTAAATCGTATCTTCAACTGACAAGAAAAGAGCAAATCCACCAAGGAGAAACTAGTTGCCGAATGACAAGAATACTGATAGGAAAGAGAGTGAGGTAATAGCCTTTAATGTGTTGAAACTAATCCAGTTTGGCCTATATTGACGGCAGTTATTAGCAAGGTCCATCAGAAATGGTTCTTTTGTGACATATAAATGAGCGGTATTTTTGACATGTCCCGTTTTCATTAATTCAGTGACTCCACCTAAAAGGGGAAAAATTGAGTAAATAGATTTCCGAGCCAACAGCATGAGCTCTCTTATGGTCGCCTTTTATATTCTGGAGGGATCAAGCTTCACACGGATACTACTGTGAATCGTTTCAATATCATATGAAATATTGGAAGTGGTGCTGGGTCGCATTTAAGAAATACCCCTCTAATTTTTAAGCATACTGTCTTACGTGCAGCAAAAGCTGAGTATGCACTGTTGTGTGATAAATGCGAACATACAACGAACTACGATACCCTTTTACATGAAAATCCGTATGCAATATACAAAAAAGCAAAACAAGCAAGAGGCGTTGCTGTAAAATGAAGATGTCGCAACTCTGATAACAGGATGCGGGTCGACATTAAGCTACTGGCCCTTATGAGCGTGCGATGCAGGCGATGGCAAAAACAACAACGCGGGAAACGGGCGCATGTCTGATGTGGAAGTCCAAGTCCCCCGGAATATTTTGTAGGCAGATAAAGAAAAGTATTTAATGTGAAAAGACAAGGTAACTCGATGGTCTGAGTAATAACGCGAACTGAGTAAATAGCTTCAGTAAATAAAACAGAGTTGCGGAAATATATTGCCCACTAAATTTTCAGCAGAAGAGGCTAGATTAGTTAAATGGCGAAATCGAAACCGGGTCTGAGTAACGAAA